AAAAGTCTTGCTTTATGTCCCTGTTTGGCCTCAAACTCATAGTAATCCTGCTGCATCAGCCTCCTGAGTGCTGAGTTACAGAAGTGCACCACCATGTATCCATAACCATAATATCATGGCTCCACAATTAAAAAATGTAGTAATTTAGGATTGCAGGATAATGTGATGCCAAGAACTTGTTATTTTAACCTCTGAAACCCACTCAAAGCATTATCCAGCCTGTTTATCACTGTGATTATGGAGGGCATATAATACATAGGAAATATTTATTATATTAAATTAATTTTTATAATAAGATATATAACATGCTTTCTATGAAGTAAAATTGTTTCCATATATAAGCAATGACTATAAGTTAAATAATAAAAAATAAAATAACTTGTGAAAATCAGTGGGCATAGCAATGTTTTTAACATACATGTACAAAGTATTAAATATGACATCCTCATCAATATTCCCTTTTCTGCTAGATGAAAAGAATGTTATTTTCTGAATCTCTGATTTAAGGGAAATTGTTCTGTCACTTTCCAGATTCCATAAAACTAGAGAAATTAGGATGCTTAAGAAAGTGCTTTGCAGGGTCGGGGATTTAGCTCAGCGGTTCCGTGGCCTGCCTTGCAAGCGCAATGACCCGAGTTCAATCCCCGGTACCAAAACAAAACAAAAAACCCAAAACAAAACAACAACAACAACAACAACAACAAACCAAACAAACGAAAAAGAGAGTGCTTTGCAAAACTTTCAACTTCAAGTTTGCTCAGCATTGCTCGTTCTTTAAAGGTGTAACACTGCCCCCTGCTGTTCAGTAAGTTAAATGTAATACTACAACAAACGGCCACGATGTGTTCCTTATTTTCTCAATAATGATGATTCTTTTTTTTTTTTTCCCTCATTGAGTTTATGGGTACATTTAAAGCAAAAAATACAGTTACATTCATCACTGGGCTCTTGTACCTTTACATGACAGGTCTTGGTTCTCATTTTTCCCCCACGGTGATTCTTTTAAAAAAAAAAAAAAGTAGAATGTTTTGAAATTTTGAAAACATTCTTGCATTAAATAAATTATCGATATTTCCTAATTCTTAACTGCCTTTCACATGTTTTACCCTTGATGGGTAAATTGCTGATTTGAGTGCCCTCAAGTGGCAGAACTTTTTAGTTGGACTCTGGGAGAACTGAAAGGCTGCAGATGTTCTGGAATTCACGAGTGACTTCCAAAAGTTTGCTACTTTTCAGTGAAGCAGGTTCTGGAAGAAACAACAAGTCTAGAAACTTCAGACAGATACCCTTCAGGAATTGGAGATTCTGTTGAGGTGGGGGAGGGAGGGACAGTGAGACAGGAAGAAGAAGAGGAGGGGAAGGGAGGGGGGGAGGGACGGGCTTTGGCCCAGCGCTGTATAATGAACAGCGACCGAATATAACTCAGTTCAAGGCGCGGTGACAGCCTGCTTTAGTGGAGCTCGAAGTGTATATAATTTGGAGGACATTTAAGATAATTTTACTTTTGGGATTCTATACAAACCATGAAGAACTATTCAAGGGTCTTGGAAGAGGCACCAAGTAAGAACCTTAGGAGCTAAGGTTTCATAGTTTCAAAGAAGTTAACCCTGACCCCAAGGCGTGCTTTTCACTGCAGCGTCTGGATTCTTCTGTGAGTACTATAATTCACAAAGCCTTAATTCATTGGGAGAGACCATACAGACTTAATATGTGATAGATTTTCTTTGAGTTCTTTGTGCCCTCTGCCTATTGAGAATTGATGATCTTTGAGTCATTCCAGCCAAATGAAAATATATCATTTTTTATATACAGAAACAGCTGTAGTAACTTAGATTGTTTATGGAAGAAGTATATAATGGCGTATATTTCCAAGCATCTAGAAGAGATAGTGTTGGAATGAATGTAACTGTTTCAAACTATTTTAAAACGCCAAATCTTGACATTTGGGCTGCTTGTCTAGCTGTTCCTTTGGGAAGATTAGATTATGTTTACTGACCATCTGTAAAGACCTAGATGTTTATCTCAAGGACTAGGAGCCAATGTGTGGGGGGAAAAGTCCCTTTGCTTTCACATAAGCACAGGTTTCCATCACTCAAAGTAGAAACAGACTTTTTTCTGATACTAATCACAGGAAATAAAGAATTTCCTTGAATGGAATCTTACATATTCACCTAATCATATATTACTTTAGTTTTTTAATAGGACATAACAGTTTTGGATTCTTTCTTGTACATTACCTTTTCCCTCCTATAATATGTAAAATCTATAACTATAGTACTCTTGTGTTTCTTGTCCTGAAAACAGCGCCAGCAATATGGCCACACAGATTTCACTGCACAAGGTCAAGAACACCACCTTTCACCTTGAGATCTGTGCAAATGGTAGCCCTTTGCTGTGTGGACCACAAAGCCTCTGTCCAGAGCCTAGGGCTGACCCGGGCACAGAGTGGACCCTCAACAATGATACTGGCTAAATGAATATGTGATAGCCTATTTATTATTCTCATTTGAAATGTAAGATAAAAATGGAAAGATTTTGTGCCTTGTACACCAATGTACCTTTATATGTGCAAACCAGTTTGACTTTGACTAATGACTTTTTCCAAGTTAACTTATCCTGAGTTAGGCCAGGTAGGTGGAAATCAACCCAGGAAAACAAAGTAAAACTCAGTGGTCTAAATAGATTTAGAACCCATGTCTTCTGAGTTCCTGAGGCATGTTCTCTGTGTTACATTTTCTCTGTCTTGAGTGACCTGGGAGTGACAGAGTATGTGCTGTTTTCTTTCACAGTATTCAGCGAGCGTGGCGTGAGTACCTGCAGCGGCATGACCCCCTGGGGAAGAGGAGCCCGTCCCCACCCTCTGTCTCCTCCGACAAGCTGAGCAGCTCCGTGAGCATGAACACCTTTTCTGATAGCAGCACACCTGTGAGTATCATGGTTCCACTTTCTTGGTCTGACTTGCTACCACTTATACACAGCTCCAAGAAAGAAATCTTAGGATGTGAGAGGTGGTTTGTGACTGTGAGAGGCTATGTTATTCTTTTGCTATGAGGGAAGGGTTTGTCATCTCAGAACAAAGAAAAAAGTTCATGAACACAAGTAAACTTTATTAAGTTTGAAGAAAATAGATTACATTTGAAATCAGCCAAACTTTTTACTTGTGAGTTCTCATTCCCCCAATACTAAGGTAGGTTTTTTGTTTGTTTTCTTTATAAAGGCATGTGCCTTTTAGTATGTGCCTCTGGTAGCATTGTCTTATGCTGATATGACACAAGATTAGCTTGGTTATTAGGATTAGAGCAAAAACTTTTATAGGAAGAATTAGAAACAGTCACGACTCAGGAGTCAGATAAACAACCCATGTGATCGCAGTGTATTTTCTGGCTAAATGGAGTGCATAGGTCCTCCCCAAAGGGGCAGCACATTCAGCCCTGAAAATATGTTGCCACGTGGGTATACAGGACAGACATTGCCAAAGGCAAGCATTTCTCCAGAAGATGCAAAAAATTCATTTTTAAATGTTGGCAACTATTAAGAAAATTTTAAAATTAAACAAACCAGGCCTGCAGACCACAGGCTATCAATTTAAGAACCTCTGGGTGCAGGAGTAAAGAATGAAGGAAACTGCTGAAAGTCTGTATTTAAGGAAAAACACCATATGGTGGAGGGAAGCAATTATCGGGCACCTAGAAGCTAGTTTTTTGGATTTAGCCATTGTGATAATTTATGATCAGTCACTGAAATGCTGAAATGTTGAAAGGGAAATGAACTAATTGTATGAAGTGTATGATTTTCAAAATCTATTTACTTACTATTTTTCTATAGTGTTTATTAAGTTGTAAGAAAAGTTTCTCAACTCTCAAAGCAGTATTTTCATATCAGGATCCAGCAATTGTCAATTTATGTGAAATATGTTCAAATGACTGCATTGCATCGTCTTTAGTAGCTTTATCTAGATATGGATTCCTAACAGGAGGGGCTAAGGTAAGTTTATAGTTGTGAAAATAAGAGTGGCTGATCTCTCTTCAACTGGCAGCAAAATTGAATGTTTAGTGAATCCTTACATTTGAAGACAAGTTTCTTGGAAGAATGGTTTGTGTTCACGGACATCGCGGTCACTAGAGGGCGTATGTGAACAACATTGGGAAATGCCAGGGCTGCAAGTTGGTGTAGCCCTTAGGATTTGTGAGTAAAATATGTGGTGCAAGTTGAGTGTTCAAGATGCTTTCACTGTGAATGCTGATAGACTATGCAAATTAAATAACTTTTGAAGATTTAGTATGAGTGACGGGAACTCAGTGTTAGGAGTCATTTCGTCTTTATGGTAAAGGTTTGAATTTACTGCCTCTGTATCTTTTCACACTCTAATTTAGGACAGTTGGCAACGGTGGCTGGTCTAGTGATCTAGTAGTTTTGATGCTGTTTTAGGATGCTAAGCCTTTCTGTTTCATTGAAATGCTAGAAGAAAACGTTCTCGTGTCCTGTTGGCACTGCTCTGCCACCTCGATGCTTGCATCCCAGGAGTTTTGTGCATAAATGCATGTTCTTTACCTCAGGGTCATCACGTTTACTTATATCTCTGCATACCCGCGCTACTAGTTCTCCCTTCTCTAATTTAGCCAAGCTTCACAGTTTCCTGATGGCTTTTAATAGCTGTATTGCCTCCCTCAAACGTTCCTAGCAATTGGGTTTTTCCACGGTATATCAGACTAATGTGGGAGACAACTGCTGTCTACTATGTAGTCATCATTTAGCTCTGAGGTCTTAGAGCAAAGATGACTCCATAGTATGTGGAAGTTTGGCTCACTTTTGATTGTCCAAAAACGGTGAAAGTCAAAGCTGATTTTCAAAAAGCATTATTGGAATCAGCAATCAAAAAACAAGCAGATCCTGTCTAGAATTCTGTTAGAGGTTATTGATGATAATAATGACTTAAGTATTAGTGATGTGACATTAAGCGTACAAAATATAGGATAAAAATACAAGGTGTGGGGATGTTTCTTAGTCTCTTGTTTGTCTGGCAGGTAAAATGTCCAAGACATCATTAAAAAAATACTATGTGTAGTTGTTTGGAGTTGATATATCTAGCTGAACTTTCTGTTAATCTGTTATGACCATCACTTTGCCAAGGCTGCTTTCAGGAAGACTCAACCTTTTATCTTTTGGGACTTGCAGCCCATGTGGGGAAAAAGTACCCAGAGAAAGGAACATGATTCTACTTTACCTTTATCAGACTGCTGGATCCCTGGGCTCATATGTTTTCTCAGGGAGCCCTAGGTAGGAAGACTTGGTTTTCCAGCCCACTAGTGAGTAGATCACAAGATTATGGATGGAATAAGATGACCTCAGGTCTGTACTGACTAAGCCTGTCCCAAAGAGAACAACCAGAAAGTTTGCTTGGAATTTTGGTGTTAAAAGCCATCAGTCCTTCAAAACATAATGTTGTATGTTATAAAATCGCACAATGTTGTTTGTTAATTTATAAACAAATCTTTGTTTTAAGTCAAATGATATGTGTTGGTAAGGGGTTTCCCATGGAGTTTCCAGGACCTGGATCCTGTTTGATGTCATCTAGCTGGTTGAACCTCAGTTCTCACTCTCTGGGTTTGAACTGTTTCTGTTTTGCTTAGACCCGTAACAATCTTCTCAAATTTGACCAGCTGTCTGTCTTGTCTCAAATCCCTCCCTTCCCTTTATTAACCTTTAGTGCAGCCTCAACTGGAAGCCAACTTCCCTTGCCTAACTCCTGCTCCTCAACTCTCCATACCAATGCCAACTGCAATTCCTTCCTGTCCTCACTGTCCTTCCCAGGCGTGCACCTTATGGGAAACCAGCTCCCTGATCTGACTGAATCCCTGTGCTAAGCTTAGAATAATGCTTCTGCATGCTTCTGCTGTGATGGTTTTGGCTAAGCACAATGGTTAATGTAGCTCTCAGAATGTTTCTGCTCTAAGATATGTAGCAACAGTAATTTTTAAGTATGAGCTCTCAAATTCATCATCTAAATAAGAGCTGAGCACTTGTTACATGCCAGGCACTTTGCTAATACTTTGATCAGATTATCTTGTTAATCCTCTCAGTGACCATACGGAAGAGGCTCTGTTATTATCTCCATTTTACAGATGATGAAAATGAGACATAAGGAGGTCACTAGCTTGCCTCAGGTTGCACATTGGTCTGGAGCATGATGTTTTACTTTCCCATTGTGCTGCAATAAACCTGTATTTAGGCATGGTCAAACTGTAGGGGCAGCAATCAGTTAATGCATTTTTAACACTATTTTACAATTTGATAGATATAAACACTGAGTAAAACAATTGAAAAAATCCGTTTGACTTTATAAATTGCCTCATTCAGTGCTGCTTGATTAAAAATCTCCAACCTCCGTTTGATGTTCAATGCCAAATTAAAGAGCAACAGGAGGGAAGATGATATTAAGTTATGTTAGCAATTTGCATATTAAGTGCACTTATACCACAATGTACTATGTGGTAACTGAAAATTTTATTTCGAAAGCAGGAATTTTGAATAGCAGTTGTTATTGTGGAGTGGAAAATGTATCAAATAGAGAAGTACAGAGATAACTTTTCACTTTAAAATATTAGCTGTAGCACAGAGGACAACAATGGAAATGCATTATGCATTTCAGTAGTCAATTTCACGTGGTAAAATACTCATACTTCTACTTTCCAGTGTGAGAAGTTTGTAATTTGCCTTATACAATAACATAGAAACTATGGCATATGTATTTTAAACCCTGAGGCTGATAGCCTTTTTGGAAATCCTCAACTAGCATAGATTCTTTCAGATAAATCCAGAAATTATTTGAACTTGATTGGAGGCATTCTGATTTCATTTAGCTTGAATTAGCTCCACGAGCCTGCCTTTGCAGTTATGCCCCTTCTTCCTATTGATTTCAGTATTGTTATGGTCAGGCCTGTAGGGGGCAGTGTGGTTCATGAGTTGGAGTTCCTGCTTGGGGAAAGGACACCTAAAATAACAGCCCTTTGGATATTCAGTATATTAGTGTGCTATCAGAAGAGTAGCTGGCAAAACCTGTTTTTCTCCCCATTCTATAGGCTGTCTCTTCATTCTTTTGTTTCCTTTGCTGTGCAGAAGATTTTTAGTTTGATGTAGACCCATTTGTTAATTCTTGATATTATTTTCAATGTTATTGGAGTTCTGTTCAGGAAGTTCTTGCATGTGCCTATGGCTTCAAATGTTTCCCTATGCTGTCTTCTAATAGTTTCAAAGTTTCTGGCTTTGTATCGAGGTTTTTGATCCATTTTGATTTGATTTGAGTACAAGGTGAGAGATCTAGGTCTAGTCTCATTCTTCTGCACTCTGAAGGGCCTGGGTGCCCATCACTAGATGAACTGATAAGGAAAATATGCGCCTATATGCAGATGGTTCTTTTTACCTTCCCAACCTTTAAATACAACAGGAAACATCTGGTAACTAATGGGAGAGAGTTTTGTTACAAAGCCAGACTCATTTTTTGGTGCATAACTGGACCCTAATAGAAGATTTTCAGAGGCTCTTCCAATGCTATCTTGAGAGCTGTACAATTATAGAGAACATAAGCCTTGTGTTGCTTAATAACCTGGATTTTCCAGGTCAGGGGCAAGTTTTAGTCTTATGCCCAGCTGTTATAAATTTAGGTCCCGTGAGTTCTAATGATTTGGCACCCAAACTCTATCTTCTATCCTGTCTCTCTGACCCTGAATAATTTCCGTCAGTATATTTATCCCAAAATTTAGTTCAGAGAATTTAGTAACTATACATAAAATGATTTTCTGGCATGTATACTGAGGCATATATATGTATATAGATTTCTCTTTTCTTCAAACCTGAACCTTAGAAAATAAATGTTTTCTTTCCCAAAGTTTCAGAAGTTATATTAATAATGTACAACCAATGACTGC